TGCGATTTCAGGGAAGTAAAAGTGAGGGAAAGTAGGAAGTGAGGTAGGGAAGGAAGAAAAGCAAACACAAGCGGTATGTTATCGAGATGGCCAGCTTTGCAACAAATACAACTTGCTTCTCATCTCTGCCTCTTAGAGTCCTCATATGAAATCATCGCATCTCAGAATAAGCCATTGGACAGAGGAAAGATAAGCAATTAACCTTCAGTCTCTTCCTATCTCCGCCTCTCGTTGGTTTAAGACCACTATGCAGGCCATTAACTGCATGTATTCCTGGGGTGTGTCACCTGGTGCCTTCGGGCAGCTGCGGGGGAAGCCAGAGCCTTCCTGGGTCCACTGGGGTCAGACCTGGGTGCTGCAGCTGCTGTAGCTCCCACCAAAATAGGTGCTATGGAAGGAACACCTCATCTCTAGGGGAAAGAGAGACAATCGGTGGTATCAAGGGGTGAAATGATTGATGGCGATGGCTTTACTGACTAAGTCATCGCTAAGGCCTCTCCAGGTTGGAAACAGGACAAGCCCAGGGGACAGATCAAGGCACTTCAGGGAAGGGATTTCCAATAAAGTATCAATTGAGCAGAGACCCAGAGGAAATGTAGGCAAACACCACACAAATACATGGGAGAAGAATTCCAGACATAGGGAATAGCAAATATAAAGGCCTTGACTCAGGACTATGCTCAGCTTGCTTGAGAAACCCCAGGAGGCCAGTGTGACCAGGGGGAAGTAAGTGAAGAAGAGATCGGTAGGACGAGAGACCAGAAAGGTGGAGGAGCCTGGTCCTGCGGGTCCTCGCCAGCCATGGGGATGGCACTGGATCCTATTCAGAGAGAAAAGAGAAGCCACTGGACGGTCTTGAGCAGAGCAGTGATACGACCTGACTGACCCAGAGTGGGAGCAGTGCTCAGAAGTCCTCTATTTAGGGTATAGTACAAAGGAGAGCCAATAGGATCTGCTAATGTCCTCAACCAAGAGAGAGGAGTTCTATTTATTGGCTGAGTGGGTGGCTCACACCTGTAATCCTAGCACTTTGAGAGGCCAAGGTGGGAGGTTTGCTTGAGCTCAGGAGTTTGAGACCAGCCAGAGCAAGAGCGAGACCCGTGTCTGCAAAAACATAGAAAAATTAGCCGGGCATGTTGCACACCTGTAGTCCCAGTTACACACAAGGCTGAGGCAGGAGGATCACTTGAGCCCAGGATTTTGAGGTTGAAGTGAGCTACCATGACACCACTGCACTCTAGCTGGGGCAACAGAGCAAGATTCTGTCTAAAAGAAAAAAAAAATTCCGTTTACTGAGATGGGAAGGAGAAGATGGGGGAGGTGAATGCATGGAACCATAGCATGATTTCAGTTTTGCATTTCTTCATCCAAGGTGGCTTTGGGACACCCCAGGGGTGGTGTCTGGAGTTTGAGGACAGATTGGAATTGGAGATGCAAATTTGGAAGTCATCCACACATAATTTTAGAGCTGTGGGGCTAGATGAGATTACCTGGGAAATTAGTATAGCTGGAAAAGAGGTCCAAGAACCAAGCCCCAGAATATTCTGGTGTTTAGGAGTCAGGAAGACACAGAAGGTACGGCAAAGGAGACAGGACACATTGGTGAGGTAGGAGAACCAAGAGAAAGTGGTGACTGAGAAGCCAAGGAGTGAGTCATCACCAAGTCACTGCGTGTGAGAACCGAGGAATTGAGTCAGAGTTCCAAGCCTCAGTCTGCAGAGCCCTCGGTCTCACGGAGGTGCTGAGGAGTCCCCGCGGGAGTGGGTGGCCGAATGTGGTGGGGGTTGGGACAGGGCTTAGCCAGTAAGGTCCCAGGCCTCTCTCTGCTTCCACCAGATCTGCTCCACTTTTACCTTTTGGGGTTTCCATGTGAGATTCCTTTGAAGAAAGGATTCTCCTATTTAAAACACAAGACTTTGAAAACTGTCAGAGTACATCTACCACTGGGGAGGGGCAAAATGTGGAGAGGGCCCCTCTGTGCAGGGCAGCCCCAGGGAAAGTCTAAAGCTGAGGGTGAAAACCATACAGCAGATATTTCTAAGGCCTGTGTCAACTCGAAAGTACTTGGATTCTACCCTCTAGGTCCCAGCCCCTGAACAACAATCTCAGCTCAGACTCCATCCCTCCGCCCCATGCTGTGGTCTGATAATGACCTTGACAGAGACCTATGACCTGGCTGGCCATCACACACTGGCCTGATAACATTTATGGGCCTCTGGGGAGTGGTGTAGGTTTATATTTGATCAAAGTGCTGCCTTGAACTCTTTGACTTTGAAGAGAACTGCTGGACTGAAACATTCACAGCGAGTGAGTCAGAAAACCCTTCCTTCCTCTGCCAGCCCTGATCATCAGCGTCACAGTGTGCCCGGCCTCGGGCAGTGTCTGCACAAGGTCTCGTCCATGACTGCCAGCCTCCTACTAGCAGAGAAGTTTACTTCTCTTGGTCAATTCCTAAGTGTCCTAAATGTTTCTTGGTTTCTTATATACTGTAATCCCTCTGCCTTCTCTCGAGGTACAATGTTAACAATTTAAATATCCAAAAGTGCTCTTCTTCCCTTAGATGAAACTTTCTAAGCTCCATCAACTTGTGTATAGATCCAGGGAAGAAATACAATGATCTGAAGAAAATCTGAGCTTAGGTGAAGTTACTTTGTTTTCCTTTAACAAACTCATTTCCGATGCAGGATCCAACTGCAAGGAAATGAAGCATGAGTGGCTGAATTTAGAAATCTTCTAATCAAGATTATTAAAGCCTGAGACATAGTCTATAACTCCTGTGTTCTTCTTCCACAACTTGGACCCTATAGTTGATGAACTGTGATGAAGGACCAAGTACATTTCCATTCTAAGAGAACATCGTAACTCCACACGGTACATAGGAGAAGAGAAAGGCAGTGTGGTACCATGCCTTAAGATCATGCATACACACCCAACTAGCTTACCTACCGCAGTGGATATTTGTTGCTCTTTTTTGCACAACATCCTTTCTCTAGACCTTCCTTTGGGGAGTCATCTTTGCCCCACCATCATCCCTGTGGTTTGGTAAGGCTGACCCTTCCCCCAGCTATAGGGAAGAACGTGAGACCATAGCCAATCAGAGCATTCCATCTGCCAGCCCAGAGATGAATCGGCAAAGATCACAAAACCAATGGCAATCAGGCCTAGGACTTTGTGGAACCGTTGCGCAGGGGATAGGTAGTCTCCCTTCACTAAAACTGGAGTTACGGGGTATGAACCTGGGGCTACCAGCATCCATTTTGTCCCCAGGAGGAAGTGCTGAACTAAATTTAGAGCCTACCTAGAGGAGGGCAGAACAGATGGATACGAAGAGATAGGGTTCTGGAGTCAGCTGTGCCTGAAGTCAGAGACGTGAAATAAATTTCCTTTTTTGCTCAGGTAAATTTGAATTGGGTTTTCTGTCACTTGCAACCAAATGAATCTTAAATGATTCATCCTCTCTGGATCTTGACAGCTGAACCTTTAAAATGAGGATGTCAAAAACTAGTCAGTGTTTCTGAATGGAGGCACAATTGGCATTTGGGGTAGGAGAATTCATTATTGTGCAAATTGTCCTGAAACTTTGTTTTTGCCCCTCCCTCTAAATTCCACCCCTCAGTCCTTAAGGCAACGAAGCATCCGTCACCCATTCCACTACACAAACACACACACTGACACACACACACACACACACACACACACAGACACACACACTTAAAAATGCCCCCTGGGGAGTAGTACTACCTCCAGATGAAAACCAGTAAAGTAGAAAATCTCTAAGATCTCTTCTAACCGAGCTGAAATTAGCCATGTCATATATCAGAAATTAAGTTCCCTGGAGTCTAGCCTTTGCATCAGCTGAGAACAATTTAATCTCTGTGTTCACTTCTTTGTAAACTGAGGACGCTAACATATAGCTATATGGGTCAATCTAGCAAAGGAGTATCATGATAAATTCCATAATTTGAAATAATTCTAATATAACCTAAAGTGGACCCTTAACATTCCCAGGGAAAATATCCTAAATGCTTTTGAATACCATTGTTGCATATAATTTGCCCCATTAACTAGACAGTAAAAAAAAAACAGAAATTGTAAGGTGATCTTTTCTTACCCTAATTTGTCTATTAGTGATTAAACTAAGGATTAAAATCATTTATGAAGCTACTCCCTGCAGCCGTCATTTTTCTAGATCTCTTTAATTACCTCTCCAGCAAGAGCAGTGGGCTCTTGCAAAGCAATGGAGTGTGTCACTTCCCAAGTGTTGCTGCAAGGATGACTAGAGAACAGTGAAACTGATGGCTGGTGGTCAGCTATGCTCATCCACTTCTCCATGCCAATATCTTAGCTTGTGTGATTTCCTACATATCATTCTTTGTTAGCCAAAACCACAAATGTCAAATCCACCAATGCCAAGGACCTCCTGTACCACACAGTGCTAAGTTAGTATAAAAGAATAAAGTTTTAGTGCTGTTTATAATTTATCAGTTTTTAAATCGATTTTTTATGTTACCTTTGTGATCTTTGAGAATTTGGGTATTTTTGCTTTAAGCCATGTTGTTTTCCCTTCTTGGCAATTTTGTTATCTTCGTGTTAATTCTCAAACAAACGGTCTAAACTCTCCACTGGCAAATTTAGATGTGTCAAGAGAATGGGCTATATTCCACGCGTTGCCTTTGAAATATGAGTACAATAAGATGACTTCACTTTGCGTGAGTACACCAACAAAATTCAGGCTGGGAAATACAGCCACGACACAGACAGTCCTTTCATCCCAGCTCCCTTCAAAACTGTCATAAATTATTGCTGTTGGATGTATTGCCAGGAGCCTGCGGCCAATTTTCATGTTTAGGAGGATTTGACGGATACCCTATACCACTCTACAGACTCAACTAGCTGAGAACGTCTTCTCTCCACCTGAGCCCTTCCATGGCACACGGCAGTGGCTTTACGCAATGGTGTCTGCCTCTTGCATCAAAGCAGTAATTTCACGATTTGAAGGCTGAAAAAGATGTACCATAGAGGTCAGAGAAGTGGTAGAGAAGGGGGAAGTAAGGGGAGGCAGTTAAACCACTTCAGAACTTTTAGAATTTCAGGCTGCTTAGAAAGTGGCCCTGAAACCGAGAGCGAAACCTCAATCTTTGGTGCATTCATCTTTGAAGCCAAAAGTTGACGGGAAGGCTGGCTCTGAAAGCGGAACCCCATGCCTTCATGAATAGCAAATTTAAGTAATTTCCCCAAATTTCCTACATTAGTTTTGCTTGAAATTACTGCGGTTGCCCCGAATAGTCTCTCTCATCTTCTCTTTATTTCCTTTATCCCCCAACCTTCATTCCTGAGATTTAGGTCTTGCAAAGAAACTGAGAATATACTATGACCCAGCCTCACGTGGGGCTTTCTGTACATTAAAGGAATGAAAGTGTCTCGAATCTCGTCTGTCCCTCCTTTGTGCAAAGTAATCACCTCCAGCTGAGCCAAGTTGGTTGAGCAAATGTTCAGTTTTCACATGATTTTGCTGCAGCGCCATAATGAATGTATTTCTTTGATGGAAGAAAGGCGCTTCATGAAATAAACTGCTGAAGGATTTGGAGTCGGAGCCAAAACATGGGCTTCTTTGTTCTTACGACAACTGCTTCACCATCTAAAACATTTCTCCATTTTGAAGGATCTGTCTTTTCTCTTCCAGCCACAACCCTCAAGCTACAATAACAGGCTCGTGATTTTTTTTTTTTAGATGCCAAGGTTATGAATACTCTTTTATGAATATTTTCCTTTGAACTCATTTCTCTCAAAGAAGAAAAATACCCCTATGTGTTACAGGGTTGACAGTAATAGACAAAACGTACAAATTGTTCTCTTAGGGGCAGTAAAATGCTCCAAAATGCGCATAGAAAAATTCCAAATGCAACATAATGTTATGGAGCACTGCCTTTGCAGCTATAATTTTTAAAAACTAATATTTCTGA